CGAGTATAACTCCCCTGCTTGGAAGAAGAAGTGGAAAGGCGAGTATCAGGCCTGCCTGCGACCGCGAGGCGTTGCTCTCAATGAGAGCACAGACGACGAAACACAAGTGTACCTTGGTGTTCCACCCGATCTCCCACCGGTCTACGCTGGAGGATATGAAGTTGTTGGCTTGGATGATGATGTTTGCTTCGATCGATACTCACGATATGGTCCCTTCGGCTTTGTAGTCCCTCCCCTCCCAAATGTCCCCCTCCACCAACACCCTACCCTCCTCATCCGCAACCCTCCCCTCCGACAGCGAAACCTACGACTCCCCCTCCGCTGCCGACCCACCCAGCACCAACAGCCCCTCGCCCTCGCCCTCGGCCTCATCACCCCACACCCCCCTCATCCTCTACAAACCGCCTACACTCTGGAGTCTGCTCCGCGGCGCCGCTATCAACCTCCTCCTGCCCTTTGTCAACGGGTTGATGCTGGGCTTTGGCGAGCTGGTGGCGAATGAGGCGGCGTTTAGGCTGGGTTGGAGTGGGACAAAGGTGTGTTTGTGTTTTTGTTTTTGTGTTCAGATTTTTGCTTTCATAGCATGGCTTTTGTTTTAGCCTGGGTGTTTGTTGGCCTGACTTTACTCTTTTTTCCCCTTTCCTTTCCTTCCCATCACCTCAATTCACAACACCGGCTAACCCCCCACCCCACCTAGATCTTCCCCTCCCACCGCACCTCCTCCACCCCCCGCCCCGCCGGCCCCGGCGTAGAAATCCGCCCCGACCCCATCGAACGGCGACGCAGAAACGGCCAGGAACTAGACATGTACACCTCGCTCGAATAAATCTCTGACCATGCATTTTTGATTCTGCAGGGCCATTGAAAAGTCGAGGCGAGGACAGCAGGACAAGGCCAGAAGAAACAGAAACAATGGGAATGGAAAATAGAAGCTCGGAAAAGCAAAGAAATACAACATCAAAAACCATGTAAATAAACCCCACGCAATCTCGCTCGATAGAGAAAAAATGTAGGAAAACAAAAGGAATATTGAAGGGTGAGGGGGGGGTTTGATGGGCATCAAGTGTGGGATACGTTACGAGATACCAGAGATAGAGAAAGGATACATGTGTGGTATCTCGCATCCAGAAAACCAAGCAACACAATAATCATCCACAAGGTATCCTATTACACTGACAAGAGTCATACGCAAGTCTGAATGCCGAGAACCCATCATCATCATCATCATCCCATCTACAGTAATAAAGACATGCCATTTGCGAGTTGAATAATTGTACATTGACGCCCTTGTACTCTACAAAACGTACCTTGCCCCAATCTCAAAAGGTTCCGTGTACACATACATGCATAGATGCGCAACTCTTTTCCCCCACATCCAATCCTATCATACAACCACTACTCTCCTCCTCCTTCATTCTCATCACTCCCCACTCTACTTCCTATTCTCAAACCTCCTCCTCCTCTCAATCTCCCACTCCTGCGCCTTCTTCTTCCTCCTCTCCTCAGCCACATCAACCTTCTTACCACCAAGCCCATAACTCCTCATCGTCTTCTCAAACCCTTGGGCCATCCGCCTCGCCACATAGCTCAGCCTGTAATTTCTCCGGTAATAGTCGAGCTTCTCCTTCAACGGCTTGCCCGCCGCACCCTCTTCAAAGTCGTAGTCCCGAGACGGTGGTCCATCGGCGGGGCTGCGGACGGGTTCGCGTCGCATGTAGGCGGGGACTGGCGTGCCCGGCTTAATCTTGATGCTGCTGGTGGAGAGAGTGGGTGCTTGGTAGCGAAGCTTGGCCACTGGCTTCTTGGCCTCGGCCATCTCGCGGCTCACAATTTGTGTGTTCCTTTCGGTTTGCTGGGCGTCCGGAATCAGGTGGATGCCAATCTTGTGTCGGAACCAGTTCTGTCGTAGCAGCCAGCCCGTCACGGCACCGAAGATACCGGAGACGAGGAAATAGATTTGCAGACCTGCGGGTTGGAAGGCAGTGATCAAGCCAACGAAAACGGCGAGACCAGACATGATTTTTGATGTTACGGCGCCATTAGGGGACTGTGTGATACCAGTTTCACCGCCTTTCTGCAATGAAGTATTAGTTGGGCAAGGCCGAGGGAGAGGCGTGGAGGAATTACCTTGAAGACAAAGTACATGATGGCTGAAGTGGTAGCGGGCAGGATGAAGTACGGGTCCCTCATCGTCAGGTCGGCAAACCACAAGAAGCCGTCCTGGTTCATTCCTGGGACCGGCAGCTGGCCCATGGCTCGCAAACACCTGAAGGCGCAGAAACCAATCCAGGCTTGCGCAACCATGAAGCCTCCCATCGACGCCATGCTACCAACGTATGGCTTCAAGACCTGGCTCTGCTGCATTCTCACAATGTTGGCCTGTTGGTCATCGCCGCGTGCAATGGCCGCCTCCAACTTTTCCTGGAGTGGCTGCGTGATGGGCTTCATAGAGGCCATGACAGCCATCTTGTCAGAGTTTCGGACCTGGAAGTAGAAAGTGAGGGAGCGAACGGCGACACAAGCAAGGACAATGGAGGCACCCCAGCCCAAGCCTGTAGTTAGGTACATGTACTCGATCATTCTCTCGAACACGGTCGTCACGCCCCAGCCATAGTCGAGGCCCAACTCCTTCAATTGTCCGACGTGATCGATCAATTTTGTAGGATCAATGACGGCAGTGGGTGGCAAGTCGGGTAGATCGGGCAGGAGTAGGCTGTCAACTGGGTCGGTGTCGGCCGTCATGTTGGAGGTACTGTCGACGACAGCCGCCTGGTCGATAGCGGCAGGTGCTATTTCCGGTGTCGACGTCGTTACTGCCGACTGGGTTTGTGATGAGGCATGCTGGGCAGCGAATTCGGAAGCTGGGCGATTGCTATATTCGGCAATTGGTACAAGCTCTGTGGATGAGCCTGAGGAGGCGGCGGCGGCGGTGCTGGTGGCCTCACTGGCCGGGGCGCTGGACTTGCCCCAACTCCATGGTGCATACCATGACCCATAGCGGACCGAAGACGCTGTGAAGACTTTGTGGGACGAAGGGATTGCGCCTGTCCTCCATGATGCCGATTGGAGAGGACTGCGACGATATAATGGGTTGGGGGTTGTGGAGAGAGCGGCGGTTCTGTGCAGAGACGAGTACTGAATCGTACTGTGTGTCAGTAAGCTGTCATGTCTTGGTTGGCCAGAGGTTCATCATGTTATCGAGATGATGACAGTGGTGAAAGCTATGCATATATGAATATATATGTATGTATGAGTATATACATGTGGGTGTGTATATTCGTGTGCGCGTAGTCCAAGTCCACAGCAACCTGACGGTGCGCATGAACATGGAGGCGTCGAGCCAGCAGCGTGCCAGGGAACGGAATTGAAATGGCATCCAACGTACCTGTCTGGATGCATGGGAGCGAAGTGCGATTGACTGTCGCGAGGCCGCCAGGGGAAGAGTGAATTGGGCGGGCCGCAGCCCTCTACTAGGCAGCATGGTGAAGGTTGGTCGTCCCTTGAAGGTCGTGCGTGCATGGCATGCTCCATGTCGTCGCTCGCCATCTTTTTCAAATCTCGACGCCCGGACCACCCCCTCAGCATTCCGCTCCGCCCCGCTGACAACCTCCCCGCGCACTCGTCCACCCACAGCCATACATCATCAATCAAGCCATTAAGCCATCAATTCAGCCATCCATCTAGGACACTACTCGGCTTCTCCACGTCATAATAATCACACAAACGATCATATTTCATCCTGCAAAATACAGGATAGCCATTCATTGCACTAATCGAACACACACCTACCCCCACCCCACACATCCACACACACCCACAAACTAGAAAAAACACAAAACCCACAACTAACCACGCCTATCCTGGGTATCTGATCCCTTAGACCCGTCAATCATACACTCCCTTAAAAAAACACCCCATGTAATGCAGACAAAGAAAAGCACCGAGCTCCTCTCCTCTGCCCGTCTTGTCCCTCTCTCACCCCCCACCTCTCGAAAAAGAGTTCGACTGCAGTGGAGAGGAGTACTAGGTAGCCCATATTAGCCCATCCCTTTAGCCTCCCCCCCCCTCCCTTTTTATTGGAGAGTAAAACAGAGAAATATGCAAAAGGATATAAGAAAAAGACGTATAAGACAAAAGAAAAGCCCCCCGCTTGGGCTGAAATACATGTCGTGATAGTAGAGCTCCCCTGTCTCGTCCTGGGCTTTTTTGTATATCGATGATGGCTTTGTTGTTTGTTGTTGCCTGTCATGATGGCGATAAATGATGGTCAGCAAAAGCCTGTTGCTGGTGAGCGCATTGGGTCGGGCAGTAGCTACATCGACTACTACTCCATATAGCTGTTTCCCTCTGTGACGGCCAAAGCTTCTTCCGCTTGGCCGCCACCCATCTCCATAGCCTCACCAAACAGCTCTTGTCCGTTGCCTGAGCTCTTGAATGCCTCGTGCATCGGACTCGTGGCTGCTGGTCCAGAGCTTTCAAAGAGACCAGGATCAATGGGCGCGATGCTTGCGCCACCAAAGTCTAGCCCTGCATTCGAGGTAAAGGTAGGTGAGTTGTTGTAGGATGTCCTAGGCGCATTGTTGAAGTATTCACTCTCGCCCGCCGCTCGCCGAGGATCCCCGGGTGGAGTGTGAGACTGCTCTGGAGCCGGTTGCAGACTCTGCGTTCTGGGCTGCTCGGCATTCTTGACACACGACTGCCTGGACGAATGCGACTTGCTCTTGTATTGCTGAGGCAAGTCGTCGGGATTCGTGATGCCCAGTTGATTCATGAGCTTCTGTTGCTTGGTTGGCCGTGGCTTGCGCGTCGAAAGAGAGACTTGGAGCACGGGAGGCGGGTGAGGAGCGACGGGTGCGAACTTGTGCAATTCCTGTCGGAAGAAATTGATTTCGTGTGTGAGCAGAATCTCTGCGCCCTCCAGCTTCCGCAAGTAAAATCGCTGTGTGCCCAACTCGTCTGGACTTGACAGCATGGGGTTGATATATTGCGCAACATACTCGCGGAACTTGGTGCCGTGTTCAATCAAAGACTCCAGGACCTCCTCCTCCTCCGGCTGAAAGGGCAGATTCGGGATCTCGTCTTGCCAGGCTTGCAAGTCTTCGAGCTTGGGTCGGGTTGCATCGCGAGGTATCTTGACTCGGTAGTCGCAGATGGGACAGGTATACTTCTCGTCTTCCTTTACCTTGCCGCGCGCGAGCTTCAAACATTTGCCATGATACCTGTTCTAGTATTAGCACACATATCGCAGGCAGTGTAGATGATGACTTGCCATTCGTGACAGAGCTCACACTCAATCATCATTCCTGCCTCGGGTTTGCGGCAAATGCAGAAGACATCCCGGCTCGAACCTGAACCATCTGCCTCCTCGCCCTCCACTACAGAGGCCTCGCGCGAAGCGGGCTCAACAGGCATACGCGGCTGATCTGACAAATCGAAACAGGCACGATTCCTGTCATCTACTTGTTTCATGTGAGCTTGAAGGATATGAAGCGGCGCATTTGCCTTGCCAAACAACTTCTTGCCCCGTCGCATCCAATCCTCGTGTCGCTTTTGCTCTTTCTCAAGATCGATCGTGCCCGCCGGCTTGCTGTTCAGTACGTTTAGCGCCTCCATCGCCGTCTTGACCTCCATATACTTTGGTCGCTGAGAGAAGTCGGGATTCTTGCTGCGTTCGTACAGGGACATGATCAGTTCCTGGGCGTCTCGCTGTTTCTTCAAGATGGCATCGACAGCCGCACGAGTCTCTGGAGTGACTGGCAAGGTGGTCGCTTGCTTTGATAGCGCGTCAAGCTGTTGGTAGTGGACGTTTTCCACAGCCATGAGTTCTTTGGCCTTTGTCTCCCAAAATTCACCCTGCTCTTTCTTGCTCTGGAGATAATGGATATCAGGATGATTCTCGGGGATGCCGACCTCAATACCACGTGCGATGAGGTCACTGACTTCTTGCAATGTGGTCGCAGTTTTGAATTTGAACTCGTTAGTTTCTCGGAGGAACTTGAGTTGCTGCACAACCTTCTCAAGCGACTCCAGTTCGGGCAAGTCAACATTGAATGTTTTGCCCTCTTCGAGAAGTTCGTCCAGCCTGGCGATGCTCTGTTGGGCAGGTCGGTCACGCAACGCACCCCGGGCTCTATCCTGAAACTCCGCAATGCTGTCAACGCGCTCCGTCAATGTGACTATCTCAGGGCTGTCGAATCCCAGTTTCTTTGCTTTGATGAGGAGATTCTGCATGTTTTCGACGCTCCGATATTCACGTTCCTTGTCTTCTGCTTCTGCTACTGCTGACTTGCTGGGTCGGCCTCTGCCTGGTCGCTCAGCCTTGCGACGATGTTGCTGCTTTCGGGTCGTGTACAGGAGGGCCTCCTCGGCAACTTCTTGGCATCTTTCGACATAATATTTCAGATTGGGCAGATCAGGCAACTCCCAATCAATCTTTTCGCCCTCGTTCAAAAGAGAGCGTAGCGACTTTAGCTGAGGCACAGGGCCCTCGGAGCACAGTGTGTTGTATTTCGACTCCCAGACTTCAGGTAAGTTCGCCTTCTCGAGAACTTTCTGCACAATGGCTGTGATTGACTCCTGCGTATTTCGATACGCAAGCACGTGTTGATCATTGGTACCGGAGTACCGATCAGCCTCCGAGCTTTCTGTGCAGCATTCGTACCACCCAGCATGCTGCAAGCACACAACCTTTTTACTGTTTCGACAAAAGAAGCGAGACAAGTAGCCATACGCTTTGCAGAAAGTGCAGATCAGATCGTCCTCGGGAACATCTGAATCATTAATCACGAAATCCAGTGAACAGTCAGACTCTTGGGCCGGCACTCCATCAAGCTTGCATCGATGAGGCTTGGCAGCCTTGTGTTTTTCCAAGAACTCTGCCCGTATGCGGAATTCCTTATCCCGCATACGCTCAAGCGCTGGGCCTAGCCACTTCGCAGTCTTGATGGTTGTATCCTTTCTGGACGCGGCCGCGAGAAGGAGCTCATCGTGCGAGAAGCATGGCTGTCGACGATAGTCTTGTAATCGTTGGACGCCGTATTCACCAAAAGGTTCCCAGTCGCTGGGCGCAAAGTTGACAGCCTCGTTGAAGTTGAAGCCATGATTGAATCCAGCATGGTAGGCTTGGGGGAAAGTGATGACAAATTCACCTGCGCGCTGATCAAGCGCATAGACACGAACACCAGCCTTTTTCAGCTGCTCAGGGGTCAAGAGTGTCACTAGCTGGAACAAAAGATCGGGCTGGCTCTCGAAAAGCTCCGGTACAGCATCACGCATGGCCTGTTCAAACTTGTCTGCGTCTTCACCCGGAATGCCATACCATGTCTTGGTTGCACCAAAGTGCTGGTAATTCGACGAGTATGTGTAGTGATCCTCAGCATGCCAGCAAAACGTGGAGAAAACCATGCCAACATACAGCCATGGTACAGTCATACCTGAAATGTCGGATTTGATATGGCGGAATAGCGAATCTGGTGCATACGGCAAGATGTTGAGGTTCCAAGGATCGGTCGAATATGGGTCACGTGGATTCTTCTCAATGGTGGGAAAGCCACTTCCATGGGTGGTTGAATGAATGTCAGCACCATACTCGACTTCTATAGTTTCTGTCAAGTTTCCGACCGATTGCCAGAACTCGCGCTCGACATCGTCCTCTGTAATGGGCTTGTGCGTGTTGGTGACGGGGTCGAAGGCTGTTTTGTTCGCGAAGTGGGTATGCTTGAAATGCTGCGCCCGCTCCTGGAACTGCTTGAGTGAGTAGACGCCACCTTCTTCGAATCCGAATTCACCAGTGCCGACAAGACATCGTGGGCAATGCCAATCATGCGCAGGGATGCCTTTGATAGGTGGGTCTAAGCAATAGCCGTGGTAACCAGCATCGCAACTGTCGCAAAGTAAGATGTTGGTCGGATCGCTGTCCGTTCCGCAGGCCTCGCATCGCTATCTCAGTCAGCATCACGAACATGAAATTACAAGGAATACGCATTGCAACTTACATCGCCTGGGCGTTCATCTGCGGCGCGAACGCGAGGACAAGATCTACCCGGTGTCGCTTGGCGAGGCTGCGTCATGTGAGAGCCGGCTACGGTGGGCGCGCCATCTGCGAGTCATCTTGTCAGTAATATGACAACCAATCAAAGGTGCAGCAGAGAAAACGCCTGGACCCAGACCGTCAACAGTCGGTACGACAATGAAGTCTGGCGCATGCGACTTTATACAGTGCGACTGCACAAGGAGAGGCGCAATGTGCATGTGTGCTTACCTTTCTTCAGCCGCTTACTGCGTCGACTATTTGCTTCGTCTACGTCTTCATTTACGCTGCTCTCGGCATCCTGGGACATGGTACGCTTCAGCTGATTATGAGGATGCCCGTTTGACAAGGCATTCAAGCCGACTACAGTTGGCCGTAGGTCGGGGGTGTTGTGGCTTGATATCATAGGGCTTCCACCATTCCGAGCCGGGGTTGAAGTGCGCGAGTCCATATTGTCCCGCTGAATTCCGTTGGCGGCATTTACTGCGGAAAATGAGCTTGGTGTGGATGGGTGTGTTGTGGGAGCAGGTGGTGGATGCGCATTGACGGCCGTGAAACCTCCTGCATTCACTGGTGTGAAGCCTGACGATATCGCTGGACGTGGCAAGTCTGCAGCTGGAGTAGAAACAGCATCACCCTGTAGACTCGCGTTCAGAGCATAGGAAGCCTTGAGAGCGGGAGATTCGGTCGCATTCGCAGCAGGTGTACTATGTAGTGACTTCTTCATGGGTGATGGCGCAGGTGATGGTGTAAACGGTCCTCCATGTTCTTGCTCGAGCATCTGTTGTACACCTGGCTTCACGACTCGAAGGTACTCCTCGTACGGATGAAGCCATTTCTGGTAAGAGTTCTTGAGCGAGGTAGACAGAGATGACATTATCTTGCCGCTGTAGCCAAGGTCACGGCCAATTTCCGCCCATTTCTTCTGTTTGCACACTCGATCGAAGCCACCTCTAGTTTCAACTGCTTTCTTGAGCTTGTACAGGTCCAACGGTCGCTTGTCAACGCTGGGAAACCGGGTAAGACTGTGGCCATGTTGCTTGTGGAATTTAGCAAGCTGGTCGAGATAGTTCAGGTTGGCACGTGAGCCTGGTCCTTTGTCAGCCTATGGCCTCGGGCATTGGGGGAAATCAGATACATACCGCCTTCTACAGAATTCAACTCCTGCCGTCGAGTGCGAAAATGAAAACGCTAAAGTGAATTCAGTGTATGTTCGGAGTGAGAGACGGGCGCCTCAGGTCTACTTGTCTATTTCTGATAGGGTGCAGATGAGCTGGATGTGGGGAGGGAATGTGCTCACCTCAGTGTCGATTGCAAATGGCGGGTTCCAATTCTCAGGCGGGATGATCTTGACGATGCCGAACTTCTGGGCTTCCTCACGGATGCTCTGAATGTACTGGACCGGATCTTTGAACTGCTCTGGGGTGGGACGATATGTGGGCGCTTCTTGCAGGCCGAACATGCGATTCGGTTTCGGCGGGTGGTTGATTGGCGCTCCTTGCCCCCTGCGTTCGACAGTGGCGAGGTCTAATGGCGAAGCCTTCCTTGCGCTCAAAGGGATCGTCCCCACGACGCCATTCAGGTGTGCACCGTTGGCAGCAGGCACTCCAACACCGCTCATCCGCGATTTCGACGGCCCAGAACCGACTTCGGGGGCTCCGCTGTCCGCTGCGACCCTGAACGTAGTCATAGTGGCGCCTGTCGAGGAACCGCCAGGTGGTATCAAGTCGACCATGGTGAGATCGCTGCTGCACCCAGCGCTGGCCCCAAGTTTGGCCTAATCACGGCCTCGTAACGAAATATCGAGGGGTTTCGCGCGAAAAACGAATGCGGTTGGCCGTGGTTTCGGGTGGTGTGGGTGGCTACCGAGTGTATATATGTGTCGGCATAGGACCTCTTTTTTAGCGGGCAAGCGACTGGACTGCCTCTAAGACTAGCCGGAGATTGATGCCGCGCAATGCGTGATGCAGGCGAAGGCAACGTCAAGACGGAAGTTCACGGTGGACCTGTGAAGCAGCCTCACGTTGTTGTTGGTGCGGCGTAGTCGTTGTGCTGGACGAGATTTTGGTGCGGCGAAGAACAAGAGGAAGAAGAAGAAGAAGAAGAAGAAGAGGAATGATGAATGATGTGAGCTGGGCAGGGCAGGGCTGGGAGCAGACAAGAGAGGTTCCATGCCACGCTAAGCGGAAGCATTACGCCCAGAGTTGCCGAATCCTCACCCTGGGCCTACCGACAACATTTTGCACAGGTGCAGGCATTGTGACCCGCATATGCTTGCAGAGATGATTCGAAAATATCATCTTTACCTGTTGTGTTCATTTTGGGTCATTTATATCCACCATCACCATGTGAAGTGTAGCATGTGTCGCAACTCTTGCATGGCCCGAGAGAAGAGAAAGCACAGGCATGAAACCCCAATCAGACGCAAGGTTGTCCGCCAACCCAGACCTCTCACCTCATCACTCGTATCTGCAAAAAATTCCTCCGTCTGTCCGCCACGCAGGACCGTCGCAGGTCATCCATGAGAGTAGCGAATGAGGTTCCTGGAAACCAAGAAGAGAATGCCACCACCACTGGGTAAAACCAGTACTACGACACTGCGACTTTTTGAGCACGGTCTTGGTGCACACTCACTACTGCCCCATGGTTATTTTCTCTTTCATAAAGATAAGATTTCGTCAGCAGCCTAGGTACACTGGCCTCTCGACGAGACGACGCTCGATTTTGGCATGCGGCATGCGGCATGGCGACTTGACTTGCAGAGTACTTTTTCTCTCATCGCTTTGACAACCAGCAAGCCCAGGCTGGATGGGAGGTCAGAGAGGATCTAATCGGTACGCATGCGCTCGGGTAGTTTGAGTATCATGTGATTTGCCACTGCTACATGCTGGCTATTTTGATGGCACAAGACAAGTAACGTGATCCTCAAGCTAGCCGAGATAACTAGTAGAGAAGAGTGAGAGTGTTCCAGACTAAGAGCTACCGGCCCAATCACATCCATCTCACCCCAGACTAACCCATCCCGGCCATGCCGAACTCGTCCTTGCGCTGATCCACAACAATACACAATCGCCACGACGACAACATCGCCATCAAGCATCATTATCATCATCATATCATCAGCATCGTTACCACGCCCCAATTCTCCCAATGCCCGACATTTTGAAAATCGAAAGTCGGCCCCTACCAGCCTTCTACTGCTGCTACTTACTACGGTCCAAGAACCGCAAAGCATTCTACATAGGCAGCACGCCCAACCCAGCACGTCGTCTTGGCCAACACAATGGCTCGAGCAAGGGTGGCGCAAAGCGGACGTCCATGCAAGGCAAGCGGCCATGGGAGATGACTTGCATCGTCACAGGGTTCCCCTCCAAGTTTGCTGCGCTGCAGTTTGAATGGGCGTGGCAGAATACGCATGCGACCCGCCACATTGAAAGAGATGTGCGTGATGCGCGGCTCGAGGAGCTGCAAAAGGGCAAGAAGAAGACGAGCCCGACAAGGAGGAGGAGACCGCCCATGTCGCTTGAGGCAAGGCTGAAGAATCTGCATCATCTGCTGGGTGTCGGGAGCTTCAGTAGGTGGCCGCTGAATGTGAGGTTCTTTGCGCCGGATGTGTTTACCCAGTGGGAAAGGCATATTCTGAAGATGAAAACGAAGCTTAGAAGTAGTGTCACTGTCCAACTTACACCGGCTGAGTTGCCCAATCTTGCACCAGATGTGGACAGTGAGATGCGTACCTATTTCATACCCGACATCATACGAGCAATACCAGTTGCGTATGAGGATTGCAAACCGTATGTCGAGAAGTCAATGAGCCTGCTAGGAGAGAGGCGAAAGCGCACTTGCTCCGTTTGCAACAAGGTTGCCAACCCAGAAAAGTCGCTAGTCCTCCTATGTCCCGTCGACTCGTGTCCGTCCGTGTCGCATATCGCGTGTCTTTCACAGAAATTCCTGGCAGAGGAGGCTAACAAAGACGCCTTGATCCCTTCACAGGGCACCTGTCCTAGCTGCCGCAGCCCCATCAGCTGGTCTGTTATGATGAAAGAGCTCAGCCTACGACTCCACGGCGAAGAACAACTCAAAGCACTGTTCAAGCCCAAAAGACAGAAGAAGTCTGATGAGGCTGCCTCAGTCGACGTAAATCTCGGAGAAGAGGAAGAGGAAGAGGATCTCGACGAAACATGGATGGAAGAAGTCAGTGAGGACGAAGATTAAACCTCTGAAGCAACCCCCGGATGAGAGTTGATGACTACCACTCCCCCACCGTCCTCAACGGCACCTGCGCCTTCGTAACCCGCTCAATGCAGCGATCCACCTCCTCCCTAATCCTCGCCGCAACCTCCTCAACCCCCCTCCCAGCATCAATCCTCACAAACTCCTCACCCTCTTCCCTACTCATCATCATCTCAAATAGCTCCCTCACACGGTCCTGCATCTCCTTCTTCTCATACTTTTCGCTTCCATAGCCGCCCCTCTTCGCAGCCTCTTCGGCCGAGATATCAAGGAAGACGCACAAGTCTGGCCGTGGAAGACCGACCTCTGGATGCCGACTCCATTCCAGCGATAAACTAGGATTCTGTTTGGCGGCCGAGTACACGCAGCCGGAGTAGTAGTAGCGATCTACAATTACCGTTTTGCCCGCCCTCAGGTCAGCCATGATGGATGGTCTGCTTTCGCATTAGTCCTGGAGATCAAGATCCTCCACCCATGACATTTCCCCCATTGTCACACCCCTTGTAAGCATTTGCGGATAACGGGGATTCCGCGCCATCAAAGACGCGATGCAAATGGAGCACTCACGCTACCTCCCACCGATTTGCACTAAACAATAAATGTATAACATGGTCCTCCTGCTCACTCTGCCCACTCAAATAACTATCAATCATCTGTCCTATCCGTGTCGTTCTATCTATTCGTTTTCACCCGTTAGCAAAATTGCAATATTCCCAGATGCCCATAACACCCCTACATCCCATCATCCCCTTCAAACCCCACACTCCAAAACACCATGCAAAGATGTCATGATACACACATGCATTCTTTTTTTCTTTTCTTTCCGTGGAAATCCCAGACATCTACCTTCCTCTGCCACCCAACAATAAAAGCAAGTGAAAACATACCAGGAAATCGCAAATGCCGCACGACACGCCCGTCGTTTCTTAAATCAGCGACTAGCTTTGCACATTGTGTTGATTTTCCGGCGCGGTCGAGACCTTCGAAGACGATGAGGCGGCCGCGGGGCATGGCTGTGCAATTGGGATTGTGGGGTGGGGGTTGTGTGATTGTGACTGTGGGTGTGATGTTGGGTGGTGTCGGGGGGCGAGGTTAGAGAAAGGCGCTAGGGTAGGTACCGGTAGGTTGACTAGGGCTTGCGCTGGTAGCCTGGCCCTGGAAAATGCTTACACTGCACTGCGTTATGTGCTGTACTTGGACGGTGGCTACGACTCAGTTGGGGATGATGGTCGAGTCCCTTATAACGTCTGTGAGAGTTTAGTACGGTGAGTAATCTCGTGTTGTGTTGGGTTGAATTCATCCGACTCTGCGCGATTGTGGCATTCTTAGGGGGCGAGGGATTGGCGTACCGGTACTCAGCTCGCTGATGCTCTGGTGCCATATGTAGGTACTACGTCCTAGGAGCGAACAGTTTGTAAATCAGTGTTCTTTTGAACTTGAGTACCATGATGACCAGGTCTTACTGTACTACTAGAAATGGTTTCCCCGCACGCTTGCGTGGCTACTAGAAACCTCATCTTCCCACTCTGGCGCGTGCCGTGGTACATACCTACCTACCTCTTCCTATAGTACATCTGTATCCAGCAAACTCAGATCATCTTTTGATGGGCAGTACTCTGGTATTAGCTTGTATTCGCCAAAAAAAAAATCCCCTTGTTCTCCGGTGCACACCCCTGTGACACGGAATCTCGGCACATGGTCATCTGAATCACCTCGATGCGCAAGGCTGACACTGTATTTCACCCAACCTCACAGTCTATTTGGTCTAAATAATCATCTTGCCATATCCGAACAACAATATGCAATTTGAATCTGTATTTCGCCCCTATCAACAGCTTTCGGCCAACAAAATCGAGGAATACCCAGTTTGAAGGGTTTTGGCCCCCAAAACTTGGGCGCTACGGGGGCAGGGTTATCTGAGCAACTTGCATATAAGCAACAAGCCTTTGGCAGCCTGATCTTCCTCTTTCCACCTTTCAAATGGAAAGTCAAGACTGCGCCCCTGTGCTATGGGGCTGAAACTGCTGTTACCTTTAGGCGTCCTGCAGCATCATAAATTTAGATGCTGACGCCTGGTTAGATAAGAACGTCGCCTTCCTCGCTATATGAACGATGCGATAGCCTTGGTCTTTTGGAGAGTTGCAGGAAAATATTGCACGATAGCGGGTACTGATCTAGTTCATGTCGACTCACAGCACTCCTCCGCCTGCGACACAGTCGACTTTGGGTTACCACGAACGCGAACAAATTCGCGCGAATGATACGTCTAGCCCTCGACTGCAGCTCGATAACCAGGATAGCGTTTCCTTATTGTCATCGTCTTTATCTCAGGAGGAGGATGGTCAAACTCAAGATTTGCATCGACTGGAATCAATAGACATCGATCGTAGCGATGGCTACAGAAACGAGACAACTCCAGCGGTAGCATCGACATCAGCCAACATTCAGGCTGCGGCAACTTCTAGTCGGGCTTCTTCCACCATTGCTTCCCACAACGATGTCAACGAGCACAAAACTGGCTGGTTGTCTAAACTACGAGGCCGGTTCACAGCCATGTTGCCGCCAAAGAGGAAGCAGTCACCATCTACCCCGAAGCCACCTAATCGCATAAAGAAATGGTTGCAAAGCCATCGATATCTCAACATATGGTGGTGGGAGATACTTTGCTGCGTCTTTGCTCTTGCCGCACTCATCGCCATAGTGGTCACCGTTCGTGCCCACGAGCACAAGCCGCTGCCCAAATGGCAATATGGGCTGACTGTAAACGCGATGATCGCCGCCTATACAGTAATCTTGAAAGCAGCTGCGGGCCTTGTGCTAGCGGAGGGAATTAGCCATCTCAAGTGGATTGCTGTAGCCCGACCGCAGTCGCTGTCAAGTTTCGTTGCACACGACAATGCGTCTCGGGGTCCTCTGGGAGCTCTCAAATTGTTGTGGAAGAATCAGTACAGGTCTGGAGGACTACATATGACTCCTTTCATATCGTCTTTGGGGGCTCTGATCACCATCTTGGTGCTCCTCGTCGACCCGTTTTCGCAACAGATCATCAAGACGTACGAGTGCGAGAGGCGTGTTATTGGAGAATATGGCAACATTGCCAGGACTAATTCGTACACGGAGGTGAGTCTTGCAACTCACAAAGAATGTAATTTGATCTAATCTAACGTGAATGGTCTTCTTCAGGCTGGAAAGCATTCAGGCGCAGGCGAGGCTACAATCCCACTCAGTGTCCGAGGAGCCGTTAACAATGGCATGTTTGCCTCACGAAAACCCGATGTGGAATTTGTCTGTCGCACGGGAAATTGCAGCTTTACAGAAGAATACGCCACCCTGGCGTTTTGTAGTTCATGTATGGACGTGACCGACGAATTGAAATTTGTACAGTATGACGGCTACGATGACATATTCAACCAGACGACGCCATACACAAACGTCAGTCTAACGATAGACGATAGACGTACTCTGACGCTTTCCCGCGGTGGATCAGCAATGTCGCGTGGTTATCTTGGGCTCGTGTCCCACTTTGACTCTGAACTCAATATGATTCGGTGGGACGGCTTGATGGCCACTCCAGAGCAAAATCAGACCATCAAAGGATACCGCTGCAGACTATATCCTTGTATCAAGACATTCAAAGCCTACGTCAGGACTGGTCGCATTGCAGAAGAAGAGGTAGAGGCATCGGGCGACGTCTTCTCCAGCGTCATTACCAGGACAAACCGAGCCCTAAGAGTAGCAGCCGATCTCAAATGTCTCGACGATCCGAGACAAGCAGACGTCTTGCATAAACTGGGTTACGAGTTCAATGAAACCACACGTTGGCTGCCGTACAATGTATCTTGGACCAACGGCACAATGGAACATCCGGTCTTGGAACCCTCCATGTACTACAATCCATGCGAAAGAGCTCCGGCTAATCAACATGCCGATCTATGCAACGGAAATAAGACGTCGACAAAAGCTCTCGAGGTCATACCAGCGCATTGCATATACAATATAGGCCAGATCACGACTACAAGTCTTTCAGATAATCTGTTCAGTCAGATGTTCACTGGCTATATTCGCAATTCGTGGACGTATGGCTACGCAGGATATGAAGGAACAGAAGCCTTGACTGCTCTTTACAACGGCGGATCTGGTAATGGGACATTGAAAGACGTAGAGGGCATGCTGAAGAATATGACCGATGGCCTGACTACCTACATGCGTCAGGCTGACAGCGCAGTTGAGAGTTACCGTGCTCTCGGGGACATGTACAACTACACAAGTTGCATAGAGGTCAGATGGGCATGGCTTTCCTACGCAGCGATGATTGTAGGCTCGCTTCTCATCTTCTTCATCTGGATGGTGGTGTATGCGCGCAGGGACCAGTCGCGATTACGAAGGCAGTGGAAGGATGAGGATTCCGTTCCCTTGATTCACGATTTCAAATCCTCCGCCCTGGACTTTTTGTTCCATGGAATGGATGCTGAGACTTTGCGGCACATGGCGAACATGGGTGCTACGAATCAGACGGGAGAATTAGAGAAGAGGGCGGAGAAGGTCATGGTGGCCTTGATAGCGACGGAGCAGGGGTGGAAACTTTCCTCTGCAGCTTCGTAAGAAGGGAATTACTTCCGCGCATTGGATTAAGTTACCAGTCAGCATGGCGTGCTCCGACGCAGGTACGGATTAGCTAATTAACCTGGAGCGGAAATGCATTGCCGTAGTTACCAGATGAGTACATAGTAGGTGACGATGGCAGGACACGAGTCCAGATTCAGGCCAAGTTCATCAGACGGTCCGGCTGGGGAAAATAAATAAGTCCGCTTCCGCGATCTTTTCTCCTTGACGAATAGAAAAATTATGTCAGCCTTTCTTTCATTCAGGGTGGCGCAGTTAATTTTGGGAGCTGTTGGCTATGGCGGCGCGAGAATTCGACGAATATTTCCCAAAGCAGACTTTTGTCTGATTATTAACATTCATCCGGGCCGGCAGTGCAGACTTACCGGACCCCAGGGCCAATCAAACATGGTTGGAAACGCACCGTTTGCAAGCCAGATGGGCAGACAAGGAAACACAAGCCTTGGAACCTTCATTTCAAAAACTCCCGACGAGAGCGAGCTAACGGATCGGAGGACTGGGATATACGGTCTTGGCGGAGTGCACGTCCCAATACGGCAAAGCGTCGCTCATGCATGCCTTCAACTACACCCTTTCACACCAAGTCAGGGTCTACGATAGTACAATCTGGGGCGCAATCCACGGGCTCCGCTTACAATGCGAGCTTGTAAATTTGCTGGTACCCCATATTCTTAGCAGCGAAGACACGAGTAACCCCGAGTACCATTGCTTGGCTAACTCGTAGCCAGTGCACGAGCAACAATGTCACCATACCGGTACTATAAGAGCTTTGCTGGGAACCATCTGTCCTTCTTCTGGCATCATTCAGCAGCTTCAACTTTCCCTTCCAACTATTTGATCAGCACTTCTCCCGACTCAGAATACAAACATTGCCAAACATGTTGAAGAACATTCTCCTATGGGCCGTCGTTGGCGTCGCCAGCGCTGCCCCTTCTAAACACTCTGGCCCCAAGAATCAATTGCAGGTTAAAACGTTTGTCAATGGTGGCCAATCTTTTGATACCGTTTCGTCTCTCATCATTGGATCGGAAGCAGCAGTCATATCTAACTTGCCTCTCGCTATCCCACAAGCACAGAACCTTGCTGCATGGGTTCGCAACACTACCAACAAGCCTCTAACCGCTGCCTTCATCACCCATTTTCACCCTGACCACTACCTCAGCGGTGCTGCCTTCTTCGAGCAGTTCCCTGACGTCCCTCTTTACGCCAACGCCAAGGCAATTGGCCACATGCAAAACGAAGTCGCCGACGTGGTAAGTCAAGAAACCCTTCATCTTCAAACATTCCCATAAGCTAACACGTCCCCACAGTCCGTCTTCTGGGCCAACGTCTTCGGCAGAGAAAACATCAGCGTGACCCCCCGTGTCCCCATCCCCTACAACTACAGCTTCTTCACGCTCCCCGGTGACGAAGCCTCGCCCATCCAGCTCCTCACTCCCGTTTCCAGTGACACCGTTGACGAAACCCTCTTCTGGATCCCCTCCATCTCCACCCTCATCGCCGGTGACTCCGTCTTCGGCGCCTCCTTCCACGTCTGGGTCTCCGACCTGCTCACCCCCGCCCTCACCAGCGCCTGGCTCTCCACCCTCGACTTCATCGAGAAGCTCAAGCCCAAGATGATCATCCCCGGCCACTCCGTCACCAACATTGGCTTCGGACCCTCGCGCGACCTCCAGCACACCCGCAAATACCTCAGCTCTTTCCAGCGCCAGATCGAATCCAAGGGTCTCGACTTTTATACCCCAGAGGAGATTGTCGCCCTCTTTGACAAGGAATTCCCCGGTGTTGCTCAGAACCCTCTTTCCACTACGCCCGCTCTCATTCTCAACTTTACCGGCCAGGAGTTTGGTAGAGGTGGTAGCAGGTTTGCGCATCACGTGGATTTGAGGTCGTACGCGAATGCGACTGAGCTTTCCGGGTGGAGGTTACATTAGAGAAAGGCGAGTGAGATGGATCTGGCGTTTGGAAAAGTGGTATCGGTGGTTTTGTGTAGAGATTTTTCTGGTTTCTTTTAGTAGCTTAGGGCGGCGTGATGCACTAATGTTAATGATGGTTTGAATGAATGCAGACGATAGATTTCAAGAAAATCAAGAGAAGTTCTAGATTTTGATGTATCTTTTCTTGATTAGATTGATGTACTGTGGTGACGTTTTAGAAACACTGGGAGTTTAAACGTATGAATTATTCAATGTTAAACCATATTCGAGATTCAATATTAGTGTGTTGTTGCACACGGTGTTGGTGCAGAATAACAGCTTATGTACCGATACGGTAATGGTTGGGTACAAGTATGCACAGAGCAAGAGGATTAGATTTCCCATCCACCCATCACATCACATCACCGAAGACAATCAACTATACATTCATCCTCTCCCCACCTTCTCCCCATCCTTTATTAACCTTGCCCCTCCATGCCATCATGAAAACCCCAATCCTACCCAGCTCCACAAACATAGAAAAGTATACCTCCCTTTCTGTACTCTAGGTGCCAACAAAGCCACTGGAATTTCTAAACCATGCTAGCCGAGATACTACATATGTTGATTCTAACTTATTCAGGGCTAACAGATTGCATTGCTATTTCACAGTATACGGTACCTATCCTCGCTACCCTAAATTCCATCCTACTTAACGTCCCCCACAGTCTATCACAGACGTCCACAAGCATAATACAGTTGGCAACCTGTAACACTCTACCTCCTTACCATACCATGGAAAAAGTCTTTGTGCAGAATGATATGGTTTAGCTACTGTAGTGCGAGTTGGTTGTATCAACTGTGACACGGAAGAAATTCGTTGGAGGAATTCATACTTCTATCAACTTTTGTATGTTTGGTTAGGTGGGTTGGGTTTGCTCTTCTATCCTAGATGGACGAATACACTTTGTTAACGGAGTACTACTAATTTGGGAGGTTGGGTAGCTAAGATATGATACATTACTATACCTGCAGGGTGATTGGAAATAATTCATTGTGGTGAGGATGAGTAGTAGCTCAGTATTGTTACCGGCGGGGTACTGTAAACAGGTGAAGGGGTAAAAGACAATTAGAAAGCGAAAATGGAGGATGCTGATATTCAACCACACCGTTAGTAAGGGAGGGTTATTCGTTGCTAGAGGAGGAAGGATTCAATCTAGACTAATAGAGAGAGAGAGAGTTGTCCAAGCCCTCCACAATCTTCCGATACTTTGACCAAAACAAGTTAGAATCTCTTTAGAATTTACCGTAGTAGCCTTTTCAAAAGCTTGCATTAGGGGAATTAATTCTTCCTATCTAGAAATTTCTTGTTACGCCTCTTGAGATAACAGTAGGGGTAGGTACAGGTAGTGTGAATGCTATAATCATGATGCAAAATGTGTTTATTTTGGGTGTAAAGTCCTGTCTTTCTTGATTTGTATCATGCTAATAACTTGGCTATGCGTCGGTTTGGGCTTCTACTCTAGGACTCTTCAAGTTGAGTGGAGTGAGACCTAGTAAAGTGCAGCGTTTACTTGATCCTTGTAATCGTATGATGGTAAAAGTACCGAAATTGATTATCCATGTCATTTAGTACCATGCGTTCCCGTCAAACCTGCTCTTAGATCTTCACAGAAACATGCACAAAAATGGCAGGTTCGAGGTATAGTATTTTTTATTCCTTCGTATACACGCTTGTGCTTCCTCCTCGGGGTATTTTATTACAGAGTATGATGTCCCTCTAAAAGCGCAGAAATAGCCCTAAGAAGAACAAGTAAGGTTTGATGCGAATGTATCCTCACAACAATCTCGTGTTCGTTCGGCAGAGTTGACTACATCGCTGTACAAGCTACCTACTACCTATAAAACGCAGAAACATGCCTTGGCCCATCGGCCCGATGACCAAGAGCGTTGTCGAACGCCAATGTGCAAAGTACGTACGAGACGACACACCGCCAAACAGTGCTACGATTGCACGCTGTATGTACTATCGTGAATGCTATACCATACAGATTAACGGCAGTCAGCCAAGCTAGTAGGTAACAGGACTGATTCTATCTCAGCGATCCAACTACTTGGTTTCTGGTACCGGCATCGCAGCTACTCCCGTCATCTCATGCAGGCATAGCTTGCATTTGGTTTCCTTGGATGTAAATAGACCCCCGTCTTGTAAGTGTTAGACCGGCCCTAGTACCGTGCAAGTGCGGCATGCGCATCAATCTACACAGTAGGCGGAGTGGTAATTAGGCCGACTTCCAACGCTATTTACTTTCGTACTTTTCTTCCACAGGGATCTGGGCAATTTTGTCCAGTAGCTATAGAAATGGCATCGCCGTAGATAATCTCAGGGACCATCTGCCTTCATTCGCAACTATTGCAAATCATCATTTGAGCCTACTATATCCAATTTCCCTTAATCATGAAACTGGCTCCTGTCATTGTCATCTTGGCTCAGGCTCTTGCAGTAACTGCAAGGTCAGGATACTGTACCGCTACTGGGGTTGCGCTTATAAAAGATTTTCGTTGTAACCTATATGTGTTTCTCCCTAATGAAACGCATGAGGTACTAAAACAAGTAGTCCAGCGATCCAAATATGCTAGTATATTTATTTTGCGTATGTTGAGGTGAGAAAGGAAAAGGGCGTAATTCTTAACTCAAGTATAGTGTCATCATCAGCGGACTCTTGAGTATAGCATACCTTGAGGGAAATGTTTCCAAGCTACAAAGTCACGCCCAATCGAGGCAAGCTTCGATGGAAGGTGCGGACAAGAAATAGAGATGTAGGTTCTTACCGCTTAGTCTTCCATATCCTAGGTACTAACTAAATCGAATAGCACGCACTCTGCGTAAGGCCTTTAAATTTCCTAACCACGGGTCTCTATTAACCGTGAGCAGTGCGAACAGCCACGTACGTAGAAAGCCATACAACCAACATCCGCCGTGCTGCAAAACCTGCAAAACAGCCATCTGGCCGCTCGTCTACTCACCAGCATACCCAACGTTCAGACTCAAGATGTCTAGCTAATCACGTCTCTCTATATTACCAAGCGCTTTATCCAAGCTGGTACCTATTAATAGCCACAATTCAATCATCCTTGTCTTCATCTACAGCGTGCCTTCTCCCGAGTCACCCAACAGATGAAATCCAAGGGAGGTTGATCCTACCATAGTTTGGATTGCTGGTTAAATCAAAGCTTTGGGATAATCAGCTGTTGCGTGTAACATGTTGCAAATAAGTGTCAGGGTGTGTGTCTACCCCCACTGCACCATGTCAACCGAAAGGTAGGTACAACCTATCCTTGATAGATTATCAACGAGTAGAATAGTACATATCCTTGCGATAAGCTGTTAAGATGATATATGTTACCAACAGTAGTGTAAAGCTACCTTAGGAATACTCACAGTGCAGTTGCACGTGGTACTCACGCATGCATAAACAAGTACAAAGACCCCCTCTCTAGCACTTTTAGTATGATAACCAACCATCACTCCTTTACTCTCCAGTATCCCTACTCACAACAACATGAACCCAATCCAGATGAACACCTTTCGAGTTTCCCAGCGCATATGGTCATATAATCATTGCAAATTTGTAGAATGCTCGTGGGTTGAAATAGGCACATCATATGGCAAGAGGCAATACAACGATCCATCATCCCCAACACAAGCAAAGGAAAAGGGCAAGTCAAACGCTTCAACTTTTTCCATCCTCGGCCCTCCATGTACCCATGATCCCACCCACCTCCCTCCTCTGAACCATGTGCTGTGGATCCGATCGGCAAAATCGGGTCCCACCTAAGATATTATAGAGGAGCATGCTCCAGTCTCCAGTCCTCCCATCCCTCCCATCACCCCAACTCCACCCCCACCTCCTCCACATTCACCCCCTGAACCCAAACCCTCACCCCCTCCCTCCACATATACGAAACCCCCACCCCCACCCTTTCCCCCGGCCACAAAGTGACATAATTCTCCGACCAGCGCACAGGGACAATATCCTGCCCCCCAGCATCCACAAGATTCAGCCTGACAAACAGCGCCGGCTGGGTACCTTGATTGTGCAAGAGGAGCGAGCTACTGTTCTGCGCCTTCACGACGAGGTCAGCGGTGTCCATGCGGCCGAGGGCGCGGAGATCGGCAAAGCGCGTGACGGGGGTGTGGTACCAAGTGGAGTTGTCCCAGTTCATGGTGTCGGGATTTGGGGGGAGCCAGTAGACATTGCGGCTTAGGGTCGTGCCGGTGGGTGAGGAGAGGCGTAGACGGAGAAGTATGGCGTCTTTTGTGCTGGGGAGACTAGGGACGGTGGAGACTTTTTGGCTGGAGTTTGGGGTCGTGGTGGTGTTTAAGATGGTTTGGGAAAGTGGAGTGCCGTCAAAAGATATGGTTTCGACTTCAATGATGCGGGAGGAGGGGTCTGAGGTTGATTCTGGAAGACGGCGATCGACGAGGTATATGGCGTTCTCTTCGTAGTTGTAGATGGCGGTCTGGAGATTGGCGAGCGCGGCCTTGGTGCCGTAGTAGCTACCGCCGGAATGCAAGTAGTAGTCGAACAAGTTCCAATGGAGCGAGGGCCAGGCGTTGTTGAGCATCCAGTATATGAGACCTGTGGCGGGTCGTGTGAGGGAGTCTGACCACCGGGAAATGTACGCTTCGAATTGAGCACGTGTAGCTTCGTAGTCCATCATTTGTGCTTTGAGCAGGTAGTCATCCAGACTCTTTGGGGTACCGTAGCGAGAATGCAAAGCGTCATTGTATATGCTTCGTGTGTAAAACGACGAGACATTCGTGGACATGTGGTATAAGCCCTTGTCCTTACTCTTTGGGTTCCACAAATCTTCCATGTCGCTTTCGCTGAGAAACTTCTTCAGCGATCCTATTTCAGGGGTGCCGACTCCCGCACCGAGCTCAGATCCAAAGCCTGCTGCGCTACCAAGTCGAATCTTGCTGTCGTACCAGTAGTTGGGAGGCACCCAGTCATAAGGGCCTTCCATCTTCATCCCGCCGTTGCCGAGGGCATCTGGTGCACCACGCTGACTGGCTGACGAAATGATAGGCGTGCGCCAGGCGACGTCCTCAAGCACCTTTTTGTATATGTCGGTAGCACGGTCGTCAGGCCAGAAATCGCTGCCTACCAAGAAGCCTAAGATACTGGGATGGGCTTGCATCATCTCCGCCTCATGTAGCATAGAGTTTTTGGCAATAGTGTAGTCTGCATCACTCCACTTCTCGCCACTGCCTTCGTCGTTGTAGCTCCAGCCTTCCCATTTGTCGCAGCATTCCCAGCCAGCAAGGATCATGATGCCCATTTCGTCGGCAAGGTCGTAGAGAAAGGGATGTTCTTGTTTCCCCTCTAATCGAACCGTATTGAGACCCATGTCAAGAACGTACTGGAACTGCTCTCGGAGCTTCTCCTCGTCGAAGCGTAGGAACATGTCAGATGTATAGCCTGCCCCTAGAACTTGAAATCGCTTGTCGTTGACAAAGAACGTGGTATCATTGTGTTTCGTATCAAGTTTGGATGTCACGCTGCGAATGCCAAACTTGGTGACTGGAGTCTGGTCTGAAAGGCCTGTGGCTGTACTTGCGTTGCACTGCGCGCTGTATAGCGGCTGAGCGCCCCATTGCCGCGGCCACCAGACTTGCGGATCCTTGATATCCATAGTCCAAGAGATGGCAGCTCCATTGTGATCAAGGGTGAGGTTTTCTTTACGACCAGCAACTTGAACGCCACCGTGATCATACATGGCGCACTCGAGCTGACAAGACCGTTCAGCATTCTTAAGCGTTGGCTTTGCCTCGAGCTTGAGAAAAACGGTCCCATTGAGTCCTTCTGCGCCTACAAGGAGAGTGGTGAGAGTCACAGGTCCGGTGCGTCTGACCTCAATGTCACGCCAGATACCAGTTCCATTATCCGGAGGGTACCTGCGAGTTCAGTATCAGTGAAATGTACAAGAATAATTGCCATGCCCAAGGACGTACGGATTCCAGTCCACGAATCCAAGAGCAAAGTCACGATTGTAGTCTGTAGGATAGACCTTGACCACGAGCACCTCTTTCTCTCCAGCGAGGCGTACATGATCCGAGATGTCGTATTCGAATCCAGTATATGCTCCAGCCTGTACTGATTGATTCGCAATTTGCTTTCCGTTAAGCCAGATATCCGCACTCGACGAGATGCCGTGGGTTTTGAGGGAATAGTGGTGAGACGCAGTGCTTGAGTTATCCAGAGTAAACACATTACGGTAGAACCAAGGCACTCGAAACTGCGCCGTATCGATGGACTGTAGGTTTGCCGAATGGAAAAGATGTGATTCGTTGTAGACTCCACTTTGGATCAATGTGGACATCAAAGTACCCTTGCTGTCGTCTAGAGTATGCATCTGGCTCGTGTCGAAATCAGGCGAAGATAGCTCCAGCGCCGTTCCAACCGCTGCACTTGACCCGACTTTCCAACCATTAAGCGTAACGGTCGAAGCTAACGTACCGGTAGAGGAGCAAACCACCAACGTGAGTAGTGCGAGTTGCAGCATACTTCTGAGAATAGAAGACGCCATCTGAAGGGGCCCCAGAAAGCTATTGAAAGATCAAGGACAGAATCTGCTAGGAACTGCCAGCTTTCAAAATACAGTATATAGCAGCTCTCAACATGACATGTCTAAGAACACATGCTCACATGCGCCGCATGCAGTGTAACGCTAGGGTAGCCTCGTCCTTTGAAACAAACATACACCGTGATTGCAGCAAGCCTGGATAATCATCAGGGGGGCTTAAACCAGGCAAGGTGCGCCTGCCCCTTGAAGCCAATTCACATCACACCTTACAAGGGTATATATAGACACACCCAATATACTGCTCTGGATGATCAGGCCATGTGAAGGATATCGACGCGTCCAGGTTTGCAATCCGACATCAGGGTCTGTGAAGTAATTGCATTACAGTAGTCGAAGGGTCACATTTCGACACGCGGTATGGAAGAAGAGAGCCTTTGAATCATGTGCAACGGGAAAAGGGAGGTGAGGTGTAGGTAAGGTGATGAGATGACCCCCCCTGCAAAAAGCTCCGAGGTAAGTTGCGGTTCTACAAGCTCCAGCTCCCGCTCCCCGCAAACGTCATCCGTCATCCCAATCACCCGCATCGCGCCACGCGAACCATCCAGCACCAAAACATCTCTAGACTACCACCAAACTTGCCCAACACACACAAAAAAAGAACCTTCCTACAATTGCCATCACCAGAAATTAAACAAGTCTGTCGAAAGAGAAAGAAAAAAGAGAAGCAGCGCTCACAATGCTTCTCCTCGGCCTAACAGGCTCCATCGCAACCGGCAAATCCACAGTCTCCTCCCTACTCTCCCAACCCCCCTACTCCCTCCCCATAATCGACGCCGACCTCATCGCCCGCCAGGTTGTCGAGCCCGGGACACCAGGCTACAAAGCCATCGTCAAGCACTTCCTACCCACAACGCCCGACCTACTCCTGGCCCCCGACCCCAACAGCAACACCGACACCACCAAAGGCCGCCCCCTCAACCGCCCCGCCCTAGGCCGCCGCGTCTTCGGCCCCAGCCCAACCCAATCCCGCGACCGCGCCCTCCTAAACTCCATCGTCCACCCGGCCGTCCGCCGAGAAATCTACCGACAAATCCTCTTCGCCTACCTACGCGGGCACTGGGCCGTAGTGCTAGACATACCGCTGCTGTTTGAGAGCGGGTGGGAGCGGTACTGCGGGACGATTGTCGTGGTCGGGGTGTCTGATCCCGCGATCCAGATTGAGCGGTTGCGGCGCCGGGATGGGCATCTGAGTGAGGAGGAGGCGCGGAATCGGGTGCTGAGTCAGGGGGGTGTGGGGGAGAAGGTGGAGCGGTGTAGGAGGCGGGGGGAGGGGTGGGGGGTTGTGGTTTGGAATGATGGGGATAGGGGGGCGTTGGAGGGCGAGGTGCGTAGGGTGATGGATGGGGTGAGGAGGGCGAGTCCGAGGTGGTGGGGGTTTTTGCTGTGGGTTTGTCCGCCGTTGGGGGTGGGGGCGGGGCTGTGGAGTTGGTATAAGATGAGGAATGTGCAGTTGAGGTGGGAGGAGGAGAAGAGGAGGGAGAAGGCGAGGTTGTAGTTTGTGGTTTGTGTGTGTGGTTTGCTGGACTTGACTGTCTGGTTGGAGTTGAGGAGCTCGGAGGGTTGATGTGGGTGTTTCACGAGCGAAGAGATGTATATCCTGACAATTAGGCATGAGCTGCACGGGTGTTGTGCGAAAGGAAAGGCTTGCATTTTGTCACACTCTTATAACCAAGTCACAGGTATCCTACACCGTAATTCCACATGATAATGTGCCTCCCAGCTTCCTTTCCACCTTCACCTTCACCTTCACCTTCACCTCACACCATCGTCGCGTCCACAAAGCCAGCTCGCCCAAGCCCCACCTCAAACCACAAACACACCTCCATCTTACCCTTGATCCACAAAAACAATACCCAAAAGCTCCTTCCCCACATCACGCACCACGCAGCAGTCCACAAAAATGAGCGCCCTCACCCCGCCCTCCTTCATCGACGATGGCCTATCCTTCAACAAGCGCACATCCCACGGCCTCCACCCCTCACACATCTGCTCCTGGCTCGAAGAAACCAGCACCACCAGCACGACCTCACGCTCGACAACTTCCGCGTACACGGGCAGTTTTGTCGACGATGGCGCAGACATGTTAGGCCTAGCTAGGCGTGGCGGCCCCGGCTTTGGCCCCATCGACGCACGATTCTACAAGCAGAAGAAGCGCAAGGAGGGGCAGGAAGGCCTGTGGAACGAGGCAGTGCAGCAGGCAGTCAGTGGGGATATGCAGCGCAATCTAGCAAAGATGCGGGGGCTGGAAGATGTTGGGTGTGCGAGATGGGAGGGTGGCGTTGCTGCGGATGGCAAGGGAGGGAGGGCTCAAGAGACGGTGATTGTGCCTGTGCCGCGGAAATGGGGGACTTTTGTGATTAGAGGGGAGGATGGTAGGGTGGTTGTTGTTGATCGGATGGGGGAGTTTGATTCTAGGCTTCAGGGGGGAGGCGAGGAGCGACGGGAGGGGATGAGGTGGATCAAGGCGGCTTCTACTGTTGAACCTGTATTGCTGAGGGCCGAAGAAGAGGACAGGCGAGCCAAGAGGAGGGAGAGGAAACAGGGCGAGCGACACAGACACAGAAGGACACATCGTGAACGGCTCTCTTCACCTTCTGCCAAGCCACTTATATCTATCCAGGAATCAGAATATGAGGATGAGTGCGAGGCTTCTGGTGGCGAGGATCCTGTTTCTCCCACTGCCTTCTTCATGACTGGAGGGGCAAATGGCTGGCCCTCACGAGAAGCTACGACGGTCGCATCACCAGTCAGGTCAGAGTCAGATGTACAGTCACCAGTGGGCGGCTGGCCCTCTTCTTCATCAGGCATACAGTCTACTGTGAGATTAGAGGAGAGTCGTGATGACGATAGGGCATGGGCTGTCGAGGAACAGGGACATGGATCAGAAGCAAGTGAGAGCTTTCCTCGTCCAACGAGGAGTAGCAAGACTCGAAGACGTCAAAAGCACGGAACTGATGAGATGTCCACCAAGTCGCACTCGACCTATAAGACCTATAAAGCGCCCACCATTGAGGATGCGTCAAGTAGGTCATCATACAATGTACAGGGTTTCCAGAAGACCAGCTGGGGCGCCTCGGGTGAAGCAGCAAGTGAGGAAAGCTGGGACGGGTATGAAAAGAATAAGACTGTCAGCGAAGTCAGCGTAGCCGGTTCTGGGAGTGAACGAAGCACGTTGAGCAGCGTTGCATCGAGTCGTCATCACAGTGGAAAAAAGTGAAAGATGCATGAGAGCCCTCGAAGTGGGAGAAGCCAGGCAAGCCAGATGTGGAAGAGCGAGAAAGGTGGTGTGGATGAGGGTGGGGAGAGGTATCTGAGCGAGAAGTGGTAAGGAGGTAGGAGGAGGTCAAGTAGGGGAAGTGTCGAGTATGGCAGGATGAAATGGATTGTGTGGAGGGGGAAGGGGAAAGGGGAAAGGGGGAGGGAGAGAGGGGGAATGACTTGATTCGGTCGAAGAGGAAGGAAGGCAGTTTTCCTCGTCTCATCTGGAAGCAGCAGCAGCAGGGACGAAGCATGGTCACATGATTCATGCACTCGGATGTCTATGCACATGTCAACGTACTCTACTTACTTCTACTCTAAGCTGCCCAGCGCTTGCACACCCAAGTCACATGACTTCAATCCACAAGCAAGTCTTCTCATCCCTCACATTGCAGAGCGCGTACATTCGCCTGCTTGACTGCCTCGACGCGCTCATCTCCCCCTTCAGCGAGGCTATATGCATGCATGCATGCATGCCAGAAGGGACTTGCGCCCAGTACCCACTCGACCGCTCATTACCTGTCTACCTGGACACGAGCACTCGAGCAAGCAATACGGTACCTACGGTAGAGTACTTGGCATCTAACAAGCCAGCGACCCACGTCGCGCAAACACCAAATCATCAAGCCGTGACACTTGACTGACGCATCTCAGCTCTCGACCAGGGTCTCACAGGCTGTATGTAGAGTAGAGTAGGAAGCCAGGAGGATCCAGTGGGTGGGGTGGGTAAACGCGCAGGGAAGCCACAGTTCACGTCTCGTTCACGTCTGGACGCGGGGGAACGCGTTGGAGTGGCGTCGAGGGGAAACGCGTTTGCGAGTCGTGAACCTTGAATGGCCGGCCTTCCCAGTACTTTGGTTTGACAAAGCAAGTTTCGGCACGTAGCCATCCCTGCCTCTGCCTCTAGCCGGCGCGGGTGGGCGACAAGGTACTCGTAGCACGGTACAAGTCGAGACGGACGCGATGATGATGGACATGCTGGCCGGTTGGACAATTGGCCGGCTGGAACAGTGCAACGGCTGCGTTCCGACATTGGACAACACGCTAGGCGCATGGGGAACGCGTTGAGTGCTTCCTATCTAATACCTGCCTCTGCTCTACCCTACCCTACCCTCTACTCCCTCTCCCAGCTAGTCTTCTCAGTCAACAACCAACTGACTATCCCTCTTTCTCTGTCATTGTCAATCTGTTGCTGTTGTTGTTACCTGCCAAGACTACCTCGAACTTGCCTGGGACCAATTACACATACCAACTTACTACCGCTAGTTGCCGTTTCTGTCAACTTTGTTGTGGCACCTGGGGCGCCTGATTGCAACTTCGCGCTTCCAACCGCAACACGTCTGGTCTCGCCTTCCCCGCAGTCTCACGCCTTCCTCTCTCCAACAACACCAACACCACCACTTTCCTCCACCCCTCGACTTGTCGCATAACCCGCCTTGAGCATTGGCCGTCTGGAGGTGCTCACCACGCATCCTTTCGTCTCAACATTCATCGGACCACCCGCTATCATGACTACCTTCACGCGCCAGCCATTTGGTGAGCTTGGCTCATCGCGTTTGCAGGCGCTACAGAGCGCAAAGAACAAGCAGAATGGTAAGTCTCTTGCAAGATAGCAACTCGCAATCTTTCAGTCTAACCTGGGAGGTAGCCATCTCGCCCAGCTTCGCGTCCCCATTGAAGCCATCACCCACAGCAGCCACCGGCAAACGCCAGCGCGCACCTGAAATCTTCCAAGACGACAGCAGCTCCGAAAACATAGACCCAGCGCTATTTGGCTCGCCCGCCAAGAAATCGAGGACCTTCAGTCACGCTGGATTCATCAAGCCCGCCAAACCCTCTCTGTTCCTGTCGCCTGCCAAGGCACACTCAAGTTCCACACCCAGTTCCAGCTCCAGCCTCACCGCTACCCCCACTATCCCCTCAATCCGCAACGCCCTCTCCTCCCCCAACACCGCAAGGTCCACTCCCATCAGCACCAGCCGAGGCTCCCCAAAGAACAAGCGCATCCACGCCATCTCTAAGCGCCGCGCCTCGAGCTCACCCTACCGCCGCCTCGACCCTCCCTCTTTCTCCGCAACCAACACCCCCGCCAGCAACCTACCCTTCTCCATCGACGCTGCCCTCAGCGGCAGCATCCCTACCTACACGCCCAAGGCCGCTTCTGTAGTCTCCACTCCCATGTCCGCACCCCAGCATGGACACATGTCCAACAGCGTCGAAGAGGCCATGCCCAAATCCTGGTTCTTCGACATACACGAAGATACACCCGAGCAAGAGGCTGCCAACCACATGGAACACTCTGCCTCTGTCCTCGACATCAGCTCCGACGACGACGTCGAGATGAAGAAACTAAATGAGGATCTCGAACGTGGAAAAGAGAATATTCCGCCGCCCGAGTGGGTCGTTGCGCAGCAGGCACGTGTACAGGCACAGACCTCCATGTCCATTGCTGGCTCGGACAAGATCGATGCTGAGGAACCAGTGAAGCGACCTCGACTGAAGACGTTTATCCAAGATGCCATGGAAGAGGACCGGAAACCGCTTGGGGATTTACCACCCAGCGAATTTTACGGTGAAGGCTGTGATGCATCGACTTACGTCACGGTGGATGCAGGCATGGAGAGACCATCTGGATTGTCCCGAGAGTGCGATTTCAGCGTTGCAGTCGACGAAGAGGACAAGGTCGACGAGACACCAGTTGTCGAGCCTACCCTCCTTGTCGAAGAGCACACTGCCAACCCACCTGCCTCTGAGAAGATTGCCCCTGGCGAAAACGAATCCCATGTCGCTGTCACTACATGCACATCGCAAGACCCTGTCGCACAGACTCTCGACACGACAACTCCCTCGTCACCCCAGGAAACATCCAACCCTGACTCATGAGTCGTGTTCCCGTGTCCTATTATCCTTGTTGCTTTCCTCACCACGGCGTTCCAGTAGCATGGCGTTAGGTTGCGTGTCCCACTTCACTGTTGGACCGCATCTCGGTGTTGTTTTCTCGGCGTGCACTAGTTTTGTCAGTACACTTTGGCGCGTTTCCACTGCCCGGGCTCATGCTCATGCTCATTCTCATGACACTTCATGTTATGCCCCATGACGACGACATATGCCTCATGCTCCCTCCCCCACCCAGTCCACGAATTCCGGCGTCTGGAAAAGCGGTTTGTCAAATATGGATATACCTCGTCTTGTTTCTATGGCGGGCGTTGTCTTGTCTCCTGTCTGCGACTTTTGTTTCTCCTGGGGCGTTTATTTTGCTCAAGCTTGTGCTTCACTTTTTCTGGGAGTTGTAAACTTGGATAGTCGATTGGGTACATGTAATACTTGACTATAGATTCTCTACCTATACTTGAGAATACATTCACGTGTTTGATTACAAGGAGTGCAATTTGCGTTTGTGTGTGCGGGGGTGGGCAGGGATGCTGAGATGCTGTGATATTGTGACGTGCTGGGAAGGAGTGGCTGTGATTTGCGTTTTCTATTACATTGATTCTGGTGTGCTTCCTCATGATG